ATTGATGTACGATTACATGAATATCCATGCGCATTATAATAAACTTTTATGTGTATTCAGTATACTTCACTAAATAAGGTATTCTGTACAAGCGATTATATTACAAAATAAAAATTATGGTTGATTCATATTAACGAATTTTAACTACCAGGTACGTCTAAGGTATTAATTTAGTTACCTTAGCAATACACGTTGTGAGCGGACGATATACGTATATAAAGCATATGTTTAGAAATAACATAGACTGGAACCTATGTAAAATATACATTTCGAATTGAGCCGATCTTCTTATTAATCCCTGCTACGTCACGCGACGAATGTTTCTAAAACCAAAAATATTTTCATCTAACACGTTGAATGCCATGGGGGTCACCGGTGACCCCAACCAAATCGAATTACCATAGTCCGCTCAATTAAACAAATATTACAAATAATACTAACACGGTGACATTCAGCTAGATGAACATTATCACAATAATAATAATAATAATAAAATTCAATCAAATGATTCAATATGTTTTTCCCATTTGATATTACCCCATGAAATCCCGCGGCGTTCAACGTGTTAAAGGAAACAAAAGAAAAAAACACCAGTACATTTCAGAAACATCGGTAGACGCGCGCGTTTCGATTCACTCGTCGAACAACCATACCGAATTCGAATTTTTCATGTGGAGTCAAACCGAAAGGACGATCTGCGCATCCCCCTCCACGCATCATCAACGAACCGCACCGTGGTACGATCAGTCGGTTGGCGCGGCGGTTCAGTGTGTGTTGATCGGTCGCACGGTACCGGTGTTTCTGTGTGCGACGACGGTCGACCGTTTGGCCCCGTACGTGTAAACGCCGCCCGGCAATCCTCCCTTGAAAACGTGGTCGGATTCCGGTGGTCGCGGATGCGCAAACCGCCGACGTTTCCAGTGTGCGTTACCGTGGAAAACCCCTGTCCGCGTAGAGTGTGCGCGCGCGCGCGGTCGACAGCGGCGGCGGACGAATCGCGTCGCGGGCACGCGAGCCCGCTGAACATAGCCTCTCACGTGCGCGTTTGAATTTTCGAAAAGAGCGGGACCGGTGCGGGTGTGTGTGGTACAGTGCAAAAGGTGGTGCGACTCCTGCACGCGGTGCATTCCCGTCGTCGAAAACGTCGGCAGAGCCAGCGGAATGTGGCACGAGGTGAGTTAGCAGCCCGCCCGGTTTCGCTTACCGAGGCCAGGGACGGATCTCCGCGGGCCCTTTTCCTTTCCCCCGCGGTTTCACAGCTTCCACCTAACCCTTTTCTGCGCGGACGTTTGCTCGTTGCCGTGCGAACCCGCCGGGTTCTCCCCCCTCTCCCCCCTCTGTGCCCCGTGTGTCCCTTTTTTCGTCGGAGGCAACTGTCTAACCGTGATCCGCGAAATTAAGGGAATATGGAAATTCAGGTTATCCCCCCGCGCGTCGCACGCGAATACCGTGGGGTTTATAACTTAGACACCCCGTATAACGTAGAATCTTTCGGACGTAGGAACGACGGATTGGAAAAGCGTTCCGAGGCGAGGCGAGGATGGAAAGTATCAATTGCGTATTTATGTTTGAGACGTTATACACTGTGCTCGAGTTGGTAGCGACTGAAGTAAATGATTTGACATTGTGATGATTGAAGGTATATTCCGCTGTATTTATTTTCTCTTTTCTTTGAGGACTCTTGTTGATTGTATCGATAAATTAATTTGGATTATCAGTTGTCTTATGGGATTGTGTTCGGATCAGTCGAGTACTTTCCCATTGAGAGAGTATTGTCACTTGACAAATTGATTCTCCGTTTATCGATATTGTAAATTGTTTTGAATATTTTGAGTTGCGCCAATGAAAATTATTGACAGAGTTCGATGAGGTCAGGTTGAAAAATGATCGAACACCGTCGAACGTTCCGATCGCTCGATAACAGCTCCGACACTGACTTTTTAAAAGATGATCGTTGGAGGGGTCACGTGACCGATGCGTTGATACGTTTAACCTATTTTGTTCGTTTTCATCGGTCGCACGGTGCCATTTTCTACAATGAAATCGTTCCGACGATGAAATAATCGTACGATCGAGATTATTACGTTGTCTTCGAGTGATACGTGAATTACGACGCATGTTCGTCTCGATACGGAAAGAGAGGGAACGGTATCTCGTTTGTCGAAGTGCGATCGATAAATACGTTACGCGGCAACCGTTTTTTGAAACACCGTTCGAAATGTAACTCGAAGACGTTGGTCACGTTCCGTTGGGATTATTGAAATTTTTCAATTTCCCTGGAAACTTCGTCGAGACAAATGATTTGACAGAAACTGCATACGAGGTGTCCGTTATCTACGAATCGCCTGGTAAATCTGAATTGACACGTTCATAATGAAAATGCAATGAATTATATAGATATTGTTATTAGAAATTATAAACTACGTTATATTTAGGAACTCAATTCATTTTAATATTTTGTTTAGATTTATGGGATTGAAGAAAATATAATAAATAATTAAATTAAACGTTGACAGCGAATGTATTGAATAATTCAGTTGAAATTTAAAAAATTGTTATTTGTCATTTGGCAGTATAATCCGTGGAAGATTTAGGTGTTACAAGTGGATATACAAGGTGTCCTCGAATAAAGGAACGCTTATTTAGTACAGATTGTTTGAGCATACGGTTTAAGCGATCACCAGCCATTAACTATTTAATTATATGTGCACACCGAACGCTAAAAATACCGCTGTGTGTTCGTTGGAGCTCAAACAACGACCCGCTCGTTCCAAACACTGCTTCTCCACGCCTCAATGTTAACAGGAGCACTACGCGCCAGACAAAATGACTGGTTTTCGTTTCCTCGATTTGAAATTATTCATATTTAAAAAGCATCAAAGATTTGACATAATTTTGAAAATAGTTCTCGAACACTCTGATGAATATCGGAAGAAACCGAAAATATTACAACTTTTATAGTGATTACATATCAATCGTATTAACCCTTAGCACTCCAGGTTGTTAATCTATCAGCAACTGCAACTAATTTTTATAGTACTCCTAACTAAAATGAGAAATGCTATAATATTCCTTTTATAATATAATATTCTTCGATCTTTTATTTTCCTTGTTCACACGAAATTTGGATGCGTGGAAAATTTAGTAATCTTAGGGTAGTTTCTTTAAGATTAACATATTTAATATTATAGGTGCAATATTGGAGCCAGAGTTCAAAGGGTTTAATGCCCAGTAGTTCTACTGTTAACTAATCAAATTGTCTTTCGAAACTAGTCATTCGTTTAATCACGATTCGATCAAATGATCACCTAGTACCATTAAACTACCGAACAATCGAATCGATTTTCTCTAATTTACTTACAGCAACTCTAAGAGTGCGTCTATTTAGATTTCGATTAACTAATTCAGTTCTCGTATCGCTGAACTAATTACTCCAATTCCTCGGAACAGCATCATGTCGACAATTGGAGAAGAATTCAGAGATAGGTCATTCCGATCTAGGTCATTTCACTTATTTACTTCGTCCGATGCGTTAATTTGCAAACTGAAACGTCGCAGCTGGCCGAACGTTATCAATCGGCCCCGCGAAAAGCAGTTCGAGCGTGATAAGAGGACGATCGAACGGAAAAAGAAATCGATGTAAACGGTTCGGAGAATTTCAGCCATGCAGACGCTGTTCCAGGCAAATGGTTCACCAGTTGGCATAAATAATGGGGTCACGTACAAGATTAGCCGGCTCCCTTACGTCATTGCCATAACTTCGCTCTCGTTGTCGTGATCGGCATCTACGCGCCGTCGCCGGCTTCTTTCGGTCTTTCCCGATGCAGTACGCTCCTCGATCGACCGCGATAATCGCGTCGATCGCGCGAACGGTCCCCAAATTCATCCGCCATTCATTCGCGAGGGACAATCTTAACTCGTCCTTTGACTTGCTTACCTTTTTATTTCCGTAAGCTTTAATAAACAAAGAATCACTGTTAACGCTAGATTTACGGATGTTTGTTCTGCACTTTATTCCATTGTTCCTAGAAAATTAGTTCGTCTATATAAATCGCAAAAATTGTAGTTTAAAAACTAGAGAATTGCAATACTCGCATAATTGCACGAAACGAAATCGACGAAAGCTGTTACTAAAGAATGTTTGAAGGATTCGGTATCCGTCAAATTGACGGGTTCCGTAAATCTAATGTTAGCGTAGCTATTGTTAATTGCTCGGTTCATTTTCCAAACTGAATCAGCATCGTTCAACTAACTGCCGCGAGACTCTCGAGCGTTTCTTTCGTTGCCAAGTTAAACGGCACAATAATTAATCGCTAATTGCCACGGTTTCTACTTTACTCCGCTTTCTTCCTCACGTTACCAAATACCTTTCCGACATCGGTCATCTCGCTGCAACCGTAATGGCAACTTGAAAGACCGCTTGACAATCAACGTGTTAACCCTTCGAGGACGATCGTTATCTCGCCATCACACTCATACCTGCAGTGCTGTTGTAAACAATCAATTTAACCCTTTGTACTCGACGATGCTTTTCACAAGCATTCATTATTTTCTGACGATTAACAGTATTATTTGCAACTCACATGAACAAACATCTTGCATGAATTATAGGGTTGTTTTATTTCTGTTTCATTTAACAATTGATTCAACATTGTATACTGAATTTTTCAGTTTAGTTTCGTTGCGTTCAATAATGGCGACTGAGAGTCACCCTCGAGTGCAAAGGGTTAAGAATAATTTAGCCTGAGAACGACGTTTCCTCAGTTGACACTGAAAACATCTGACGTTCAAATGAAATTGTGTAATCTAGATTGACTATCAACAAAGACGGGAACCGGCACAGTTACCGAATTCCCTCGATGAAAATGATCGAAACGTAGACAGCGTGTTCAAAGTGAACGAGAGTTCAGCGACACGACGATTTTTCCTGTGGGCACTGAGAGTCACCTTTCGAGTGCAAAGGATTAATTATTCGAGTAACAAGAGCCATTACGCAGTTCGAAGTTGAAGGTACACTTTAGCTTGTTCCATCGAAGACTTTCAGCACTTCGAAAAGAGCGCGAGGGTTCGTTAGAATAATGGTGAATCCGCCCATGGTTTTCGACGGCTTACGTCGTCCCTGGTCGCGGCGAGGAGTGGTGGCCTCGCGATTCGTGTACGCAGGATATTTCGTACCCGTTACTCCCTCGAACGCATTCCATCTCGCGCCGTTGAATCGCGCGGCCCCGAAGATTAATTTCCTTTCGATCGGGCCCAAGCGTTGCGCCGCGCCATCCTCGGCTTTTCTTCCGTTTCCGCCACGGCCATTGCTGCCTCCTTCGATCCGCGCCTTTTATCCGCGCGCTTTCTCACGATGGGCTCGGATCCGCGCCGTAACCGATATTCACCCCTAGGATCCCGCGAGGGGAGGATTCTTCGAGCTGTCCCCAAAACGGGTCCCCTCTCTTTGCGCCGTGTGTTCTTGAAGATTGTATGTATTTACCGTTGTGAATTCTCAAATTGAGAACAAATTAGACAAAGACGATGATTTTTTTTTAGTTAGAAAATGTTAAGTATTGCTGACGAAATACTTCCGAGTGCAAAGGGTTAATATCAGCTCAATGTTAACACGTTGAACAGTGGGTCACCGGTGACCCCAACAAATTGAGTTACTATTCACTCAATGAAACGATTATTTGGAAACATTTCTATATTATAGATACTAATTTCGTGACATTCGAGTAGAAGGTGCAATAATGCGGTTCGATCAAATGATTTAGTGTATTTTTTCCATTTTGTGTATTCTGCTTTATAAAATTGTGAGACGTATACCTATTTCTATCTGGTCTTTAGCACAACTTATATTGTTTAATATAGAATGAAGACAATAAACAACAAAAAAAGGTGTGAATATTGAAAAATTTATACACATATTTTAGGAAAAGTGAAGTACAAAGGCGATTCAATTGTCTATAGGAAATTCTACTCGAAACTTTAAAAACATTTGACTGGTCGCGGTAGGAATAGTGTTAACATTAAATATCAAGCTTTATAGTCCCGCTATATCAAACCGAGTGACAGAGTTGCCTCTCGAGTGCGGAGGTCGATAGTTTACTCGCTGACACTCGGGTAACACTGGAATTGCAGTTAAGCGTGACACAGTGAACGACAAGGGATATTCCTGGAGGTTTCGT